GGGGAGGGGGTGTAAGTCTGCGTTGTAAGGACCCATATGGCCTTTGGAGGAAATTCCTGGCCCGGGCGACAGCAGATATGGGCGACAGCGGACCTGTGTTTCTAGAGTCACCTGGCATTCTGCAGCAGCCACTTCTCTCGCGAAGGCTTGCGGCCCGGGCTTTAGGGTGACATCACTTCCGGGCGATCTGCGGGCAGGTGTATCCGGAAATGGCGCCAGCCCCATGTGGGTCGGAGGAGGAGTTAAGGCTGGTCCTTTGGTATTTCCGCATTCCTCCCTGGAATGTCCTGAAGTTTAGAGTAGAGTGTGTTTTGAATGGAGTTGGCGGATTTGGCAAATAAAAACGCAAGTCTTCCAGTTAAACTTGAATTTCTGATGAGAAACGAGTAATTTTTAGTTTAAATATATCCAAAGTATTGTACGGGACATATTTTTGTTAAAAAGTTACTGATCTGAAAAATTCAAATTTAACAGCGTTCTGAATTTTATCCGGCAACCTTAACCTTGAGCGTCCTCCCTCCCGCTCTGGACTCTGGTATTCAGTAGCGAGGTTGAGGTCCCCTAGGCCTTTGTTCCACTGGGAAATAGGTATAAAGTTCAACCAGGCTGTAAAAATCAGGTATTTTAGATGCTAAGATTCTTTTAGCTCCAAGTCTAATGGGCAAGCCCCAGGGATCTCCTGGTGAAAGGCACGTTTGCAGAGTCCCCACGGCGGTACCCTTTGTGCTCCCTTTCACAACGAGTTAGGCCAGGTTAATCTTATGGGAAAGCTGAGAACCAAGTGGGCTAAATGTTCGAAGTCTGGAAGTTGCCATGTTGTTTTGGTGTGTGGTAAACCGATGTTCAGTGTTCTCTGTGTTAACAGTGGACAGCACCAAACACATAGTCTGAGGGTATCAAGGGAAAAGTATTATTATTATTATTACTATTTTTGGTGCTGGGACCTCACCCATACTAGGCAAGAGCTATGCCACAGGGCCACATCTCCAGCCTCTGACAGCATTATTTTTTTTTTCTTTTTTTTTGGGTGGTTATGAGGTTTGAACTTAAGGCCTGCACTTTGAGCCACTCCACCAGCCCTTTTTTGTGATGGTTTTTTTTGAGATAGGGTCTCTCAAATTAGTTGTCCGGGCTGGCTCCGAACTGCGATCCTCCTAATCTCTGCCTCCTGATTAGCTAGGATTACCGGTGTGAGCCCCTGGTGCCTGGCTAGTAGATGCCTTTTTATAAATTTTTGAAGCTTTATTGTCCCTAAACCCTTCTCCAGGGGTTCCTGACCTTCACCTCAAAGTTTCTCTAGCCTTTATCCTGCCCAGTGGGGAAAATGACTATTTGGATTCAGTTATGGGAGCCTGTTCCAGCCAGTGGGCTCTGACCTCAGTGTGCAGTGTAACTCGGCTTGGTTTGCTATTTCAGAGCCAGAAGGGGTGTTCCTGGCAGAAGTGAGTCTTGCCAGTTATGTGGGTAGAAGGGCATCTTTTCCTATGGGGCAGATTGGCCCCTGTAGCACATGGGCTTTTGTAGTGCCTGAGGACTTCCATGAGTCAGACTTTGTTGGTGTTCTTGATTTGTAGCTGGATGTCTTGCTGGACTGACCTGGGTGCTGAGATTCCTCGGGCTGTATGCCCTAATGAGTCTGCAGCCTCCCCACACAAACCTAGTGATCCCAGGCTTCCCAGCCAGTCCCATGAGCTAATGAAATAGAATAGGCTGGAGGTTAATAGGCTCTGGGTCAGTTCGTGGGGCAACCCATAGCCACCTGGCAGTAGAAGTTGTAAAGAGGGGATGTACGAGTGCCAGAAAGGGACATTGCTTCTGGGTGAGGGTTCAGAAGTGCAGATGTGGAAAAGGGGTAGGGTGGGAGACTGCTGGTAGGAATTGCTCCCTTTGTGAATGATTAACTCCCAGTCAAAGAGGGTGACAGGGAGAAGGGCTCAGTTAATAGGAACTTTGGACTTGGGGCAGAATGTGCAGAGGGCCCTAGTGTGGTCTGTAGAAGAGGACTGCTGAGTGGCAGGGCAAGGGCTTTAAGGACTAGAGTGAAAGCAGGTAGCTCAGAGCCTCAGGAAGTCTTCTTAAACTGAATAACTAATTTTTGCAGCAGTAGCTGTGGGAACCACCCACCCTAAGCCCTCACAGGGGTGGCCTCAGGGTGCCTTCTGTCTCTGGCCTCACTAGTGTTTTTTTACTCCTAGGCAGCTATGGATGCAAGGTGGTGCTGAGAGCAGTGAGGCATGGCTGTAGCCCTACAAGTCTTGCCCTGTCTGGTCCGAGCCCCCTCACGTCCACTCCTCTGGGGGGCCCCAGTGGCCCGGATGGCTAGTGGCATGGCTTTGGCAGAGCAGGCACGACAGCTATTTGAGAGTGCTGTGAGTGCAGTGCAGCCGGGCCCGATGCTGCAAAGGGCACTGTCCTTGGATCCTGGTGGTGGACAGCTGAAGGTACGGGACCGGAGCTTTCAGCTGCGGCAAAACCTGTACCTAGTGGGCTTCGGCAAGGCTGTATTGGGCATGGCAGCTGCAGCTGAGGAGCTTCTGGGCCAGCATCTCGTGCAGGGTGTGATCAGCGTTCCCAAGGGCATCCGTGCTGCCATGGAGCAAGCCGGCAAGCAGTAAGGAGCCTTGGGGGGAAACCTAGGCTCAGACTCAGGCTGGATCAGGGCCTCCTCAGAAGCCTCCCTTTTCTCCTGGGTCTGGCCTGGCTCCAGGGTGGTGTCAGTGTGGTCCTTGCTCATGCCTTCTTTACCCTTTTTGCTGAGAAATCAGTGGGAAAAGAGGGGTCCACCCCCATCTCTTACTCTCTGATTTTCTCCCTACTCAGGGAGATGTTGCTGAAGCCACACAGCCGTGTCCAGGTGTTTGAAGGTGCAGAGGACAACTTGCCGGATCGTGATGCACTCCGGGCTGCGCTGGTCATCCGGCAGCTGGCTGAGGGGCTCACAGCTGATGACCTGCTGCTTGTGCTCATCTCAGGTTTGCATGCCAGATTGGATTAGGACAACTGGCAACAGGGAGGGGTGAAGGTGCTCTAAATACCAGGTCTTTGAGAGACTGATCTGAGCCTCCAGAGTCACTGGGTGAGGGTGGGAGCAAGGGAGGGAGTGAGAAGCCTGAATGGTGGCCTTGGGCCAGTCATCTGCCCTCCCCTGAGCCCACGGTCCTTCTCCCAAACTGCCCTTGTTGGGTATGGTGAGAGGGTGCACAAGGCATGTCATGTCAAGAGTTCTTGCAAAATGTCATTGCTGTTGTTATCTGCACTAATGTTCCAGGGCTGGAACCTAGGTCTTTCGGAGCCCTCTCCTTGGTCCTCTGCTATTTATCCTTGTTCTGCCCCTTGTTCCAACCTCTTAAAGGAATGGTTTTTCCAGTGCCTGCTAGGATCTGGGGTGCCCCAAGGCAGGTGACAGCCTCTGGTGACCAGGGCTTGATGACTCTGTGCACTGTCATGGCATGTCCACATGGGGGCACCCTAACCCTTCTATCCAAGTCCACCTTATTCATGGGCTTGTCAACCGTTGCTTGCCTGGTTCTCTGGGTTGGGATGTCTCCTCTGTCTGATGCCTTCACTAACTCTGCAGGTGGGGGCTCAGCCCTGCTGCCTGCTCCCATCCCACCTGTCACACTGGAGGAGAAACAGATGCTCACCAAGCTGCTGGCGGCTCGTGGAGCTACCATCCAGGAGCTGAACACCATCCGGAAGGCCCTGTCCCAGCTCAAGGGTGGAGGACTGGCTCAGGCTGCCTACCCTGCTCAGGTGAACACATTGTTCTTCCTCCGGCAGCCCCGGGGTCGTTCCCTCCCCACCGCACGTGACAGGGAGATGAAAGCCTAGACCAGCATACAAGTGTGAGTTCACAGGGCCAGTCTGGCGGGGTGTGTGGAAGGGGTCCCGGAGAGGAGGAGAGGGGAGTCCCTATGGCCAGGTGTTCTGCAAGCCTACCGGAGAGTGGTGACAAGTGGGCAAGGATAGATCCTTAGGGCCTGTGGCTGGGAGGAGGTGGGACTGAGCCTTTCCCTGTGTGTCTCTTCCTTAGGTGGTGAGCCTGATCCTGTCAGATGTGGTTGGGGATCCTGTGGAGGTGATTGCCAGTGGCCCTACTGTGGCCAGTGCCCATAGTGTGCAAGACTGCCTGCATATCGTTGATCGCTATGGTCTTCGCGCTGCCCTACCACGTTCTGTGAAGACTGTACTCTCTCGGGCTGACTCTGACCCTCATAGTCCCCACACCTGTGGTCATGTTCTCAATGTAATCATTGGCTCTAATGTGCTCGCTCTGGCTGAGGCTCAGAGGCAGGCAGAGGTACTGGGTTACCGGGCTGTGGTGCTGAGCACAGCCATGCAGGGTGATGTGAAAAGTGTGGCCCAGTTCTACGGGCTGCTAGCCCAAGTGGCTGGAGCCCGCCTTACTCCATCCATGGCTGGGGCTTCTGTGGAGGAGGAGGCCAAACTTTATGAGCTGGTAGCCGAGCTGCAGGTCCCAGACCTGCAGCTGGAGGAAGCTCTGGAGGCTGTGGCAGAGGCGAGTGGCCCAGTCTGCCTGCTGGCTGGTGGTGAGCCCACAGTGCAGGTGAAGGGCTCAGGCAAGGGTGGTCGGAACCAGGAACTGGCCTTTCGTGTTGGAGTGGAGCTGGGAAGACGACCACTGGGGCCTATGGATGTGCTGTTTTTGAGTGGTGGCACTGATGGGCAAGATGGGCCCACAAAGGCTGCTGGTGCTTGGGTCATGCCTGAGCTTGCCAGCCAGGCTGCTGCTCAGGGTCTGGACATGGCCACCTTCTTAGCCCAAAATGACTCGCACACCTTCTTCTGCTGCCTCCAGGGTGGAACACACCTGCTGTACACAGGGATGACAGGTACCAACGTCATGGATGCCCACCTTCTGTTTCTGCGGCCTCAGTGATGGCATACGTCACATTTTTGAGAGACCAGGAGAGGCCTATAAGGGCAGGGTTTTAGGAAGGATGAGGGTTGGTCCCTAGAGCCTCACCATACTTTCGGGCCCCTCTTCTCCTCAGCCTTGGCTGCTTGGTTGGCTTGCCCACCTCCCACACATCTACATGTTCATTCCCATCAGCTAGATTGGAAGATTGGGGCTTCCTTCCATCCCGTCTTTCTGTAGTGGCAGCAGGTAGCCCCAAGGACCAGACAAGCTCCTTAGCCTGCTTGCTGTCCTTGTTCTCCCCGCCAGGCAGCCCCTCTCTCTGCCCAGCCCTTCAGCCTGTTCTGTAGAGTGAAGACTGAAAATAAAACAGACCACACTGCGGCTTCTCAGTGCATCTTTTCTCAGTGTAAAGACTTGCAGGGAGCTGTGGGGGAGGGCAGTGTGGTATGGCCACATCCAGGTGCCAGGGCCTGGCTGTTTCTCACATCCCTCTTCCCGGCATGCTCAGGACTTGTGTCATGTAAATGGGAAGCTGCCTATCTCTCTAGAGCTTGTGGGTTGAGTCTGGCTCCTTGCAGCCTCGATGTGGGTGAGTAGAGGTCCCCAAAGAGGACAGGCCTGAGAACTGCCACCCATCCAGGTAGGTGTCTTTGTAGCATCTTTGCTACAGTCTCTCCACCTCCTGCTTGTTTGCCTCATTGCTCCCTGCCACCAAGGACGTCCCTCTGTATTTGGACAGCCGCAGCTTTGGTTGCACTGAAATCTGCTTTACCACCTAGCCCTCTGTTGATTGAGGGGCTGCTCCAGGCCACAGGACACTGGACCTTGTTTTCTTGTTCCAGCCCCATTTTCCTAGGCTGAACATCCCAAGTCCTTCACAGGGACATAACTCAGGCCTGATGCCAGCCTTCCAGCACTGGGGCCACAATGAAAGGGTCCAGCAGTCCCTCCTGTCACAGCTGGTGGTGGGAAAAGAGGTGAGTAAGGAGGAGAGCAGCAGTGGAATGACTTCCTTCTCCTCACTGGCAGCCTGGGTTGGGAGAAGGAGGCGCCACTGTCATGGCTCCCCAGAAGCCCTCTTGCTCAGTATTGGAGCTCCCCGCTGGCTATCCTCGCCGTGCGCCACGGCTCCAATCCCTATATGAGTGAGCAGTAGAATCACATAGGAATAAAAAGCCATAGAGAACAACGAGGCCTGGGGCTGCTCCTGTGGGCCCTTCCTCCACCCTGAGCATGCGAGGGGCTCTAGGCCAGGGCTGGCATGCCCTCCTCCTGGGAAGAGCCTCTTTCCCACTTGGGCTCTGGACATCCTGCCAAGCAGGCAATTCATGACTGGGGGACCTGGTGCACATGGCAGATCTTGGGCCCTGAGTGAGCACAGTAAGCTGGGATCTGGGTACCAGAAAGGTTTAGGGAAGGAGGGAGTTTGCTTGCACCACTTTCCTTCTGCTCTGGTGTGGGGTACCTGCTGACAAGGGTCATAGTCTCAAGTGATACTGTTCCCCCATGCCAGTGCTTATACCCTGGTGTTCTGGCAGTCTCCATTCTTGCTCTTGGGAGTGTATTAGCACTGGATGTCAAGTTGCAGGCAGCGCTGGGACCAGGGCTGAGGGCCTGTGTGTAGTGGGCACGTGAGCATAGGATGTAGTGAGCATGGCATGCTGGGAAGGGGAATCTCTGCACATGCAGGTGCTCTGCACAGGGCATGGACACTGCTTCTGTGCTTGGCTGCCTCCATGTTGGGTAGGGTCTTGCTGGATGCTCCCCTTGTCCACTTGGCCTTGGAAGCCAGGGCCTGAATTGGGCCCTTACCCCAGATACCTATCTCTCTTTCTCTCACGAGGCTAGATTTAAAATGAGGTAAACCCCCACAGTGAATGCTCAGTAGGACTCAGGATGTGCTGTATGGGTGGATCATCAAGCGCTCCCTGCCTTTGGCTTTTGGCTCCTCACTCTCCTGGCTCAGGTCCTGATGCACCCTTTCATCTCCACTCCCTGAAGCTTTACTTGGCTAGAGGCTTTCTCCTTGAGTATGCCCCCTTCCTCCGTTCTCTGCGCTTGAGATGAGTGGTGGGCCTCACAGCCTTTTGGGGTCAGCTTATTCAAACCCCTTTGTCCTATAGCTGGAGAAACAGAAGGTGGTTTATTTGGGGCTACACAGCATGTCAGCCACAAACTCTGGATAAGAATCTGGTTAGAACCCCATTCTTTGCCGTCCTCTGGGGCTCAGACACCCTGGGACCTATGAAGGGCTCAGCAGAGCCCAGGAGATGTACTCTTGCCTTCCCTGCTGCCCATTAAGGGTTTGGGGTTGGTGACGTGACCCTGCTTGGCCTTTCCAGGGTCGATAAAGCAGATTTGGTCTCTTCTTTGCTGGGAGAGGCAGCTCCCATATGGGTGATTTGTTGGGAACCATGTGCAGTTGTCTGTGGCTGTGTGCACACAAGTGTGTGGTAGGGGTGTGTGTTCCCAGTGCAACCCATGACCAGTTTACTGAGCAGGCCTCTGAACTGCTCTGCCCATCCCAGGGTGGAGATGCAGTTTGGTGTAGTTAGAATACTGGGAATACTGTGGAACATACTGGGCAGGGAGGCCATAAATGCTGGCAGGAGCTAGTTGGTAGAGGGCCTTGTCTGCCCATTGAGGGATTTAGCATTGACAGCATGGCAAGCTCATGAGAATTTTGGCAGGGAGTGATGCCATGAGGCTGTTGTAAGATTTTCATATAAGACTTCTTTCCTTCTTTTTTGGTACTGGGATTTGAACACAGGACCTCATGCCTGCTAGACTGGCGCTTGAGTCACAACCCCAGCACTTTTTTTTTAAACGGTGCTGGGGATGGAACCCAGGCTAGGAAAGTGCCCTATTGAGCTACATCCTCCCAAATTGTATGATTTTCATGCTGAGGGTCACCTTCCTTTTTGCAGGGGGTGTGGGATGAAGGCATGCAAGGAGATAGGAGGGTCACAGGTGGAGAGAAGTACATCATGGGGCTCCAAGAACTTCCTCCCTCGTCCCCTTTGCCTCACCCTTTAGGTGCCCACTCTGAAACCAAGGCTGGAAGCCCTGCTCAAATATCCCTGGGAGTCACTGAGCCCCTCTGTCTCTGGGAATGTCATCAGAGCCTTGAGGATTTGGGGAACAGAAAGACTGGTCAGCTGGTTGATGCTTTTGAGGGCATAGGGACCCCACACTCATGTAGGGCCTGGAAGGAACCCTGAAGTAGGGGTCAGATTCTTGTCTTTCCACCTTCCTTTCTCCAAGCCTCAGTTTTTTCCTCTAATGGGGATAATATCCTTTCCATGCTCACCTCTTTGGGGAGGTGTTGGAAGCAGGGAGATGTATGTGAGAAAGCTCTGAAGAAGTGGGGGCCCAGGGAAAGAGGAAAGGGAAGGCAAAGCATTGATGTCTTCCAAGAATTGCAAGGTGATCTCTGCTCAGGGAGGACACCTTGCTAGGCATGGCCAGGTTATAGCGATTGACTGAGGCCAAGCAAGCAGCCTGTTTTCTGACATTGGACTGACAGTGGCAGGCGATGGTCCTTTTATTTATTTATTTATTTTGTGATGCTGGGCTGGGAATCAAACTCAGGGACTTGTACATGCTGGGAAGTGCTGTACCTCTGAACTACTCCTCTAGGCCAGTGCATGGTATTTGAGTCTAATGATCAGAAGGGTGTATGGTCTTCCAGCCTGGAAGAGCACCCCCTCCTGTCTCAGGAAAATAGGCAGGAAAGCCTTTCTCCCTCTGGTCTGGGTCATGTGTGAGGCATACAATGAGGTTCAGATTGGGAAGGGGAAGACTGGCAGGACTTCCCTGGCTAGGAACCCCTAGCTGGGTGGGAGGATTTGGGGTACGCTAGGGGAGGAGAGGACTTATGCATAAGGTGTGTGTGTGTGTGACACTGACACTCCCGGGTGGTGGGGAAGTCAATGACCTAGGCAGACTTCTGTGTGAAATAGGACCATGAAGTTGTAATGAGCTGTGCCCAGCCCAGGAAGGATGGCCTTTCTCTTAGAGACAGGGATGTGTGAGAGTCACAATCCTCCCCAGGTGACCACTAGAGCCAGTCTGGAGGCTTTCTAGCTCCCCTTCCATGTTGCAGGCTGGTGCATAGTGGCTGGAGGGAGTGGGCTGGGGGGTGACCATGCGACTGTATCAGCTTATGTCCACAACTCTGATTCTGCCTCTGTACATGTTCCATGGGGAAGGGGAGCAGGTAGGTGGCAGGTACCGCCCTTCTCAAATGAGGAGGTTCTGGCCAAGGGTGAGGGAGAGTTGCTATAACTTCCTAGTTCTTAGAAGGGCCACTATCCTTGGCAGTTCTGCCTCATGGGACCGTACCCACCATGATTTGGTTCACTGATGACTCGGGGGTTCAGGGAGCTGTAGGACCTGGCCTTGCCCTAACCACACAGTCTGGGGCCAGCCCTCAGGATGTACCCCATTGGGAAGTACCTCCGTCCCTAGCTTCCGCTGAGAAAGGGGTGGGGCTGCTGTGGTCTCTGCCTCCTTAGTCCACACCCACCAGCTGCCCAGCTTTAGGCTTTCAGGATCTCCTAGTGGTCCTGGGTTGTTCCAGAAAGTGCACTCACAGCCTCACTTAAGAGCCACGGCTCTGGCTCCACCTGCTCCCCGCACCCTACCCTGTCCCACCCCTTCCCACAGAGCGCCTGTCCTGCCAGGCTCCAGGAAGCTGACTGCAGGAACATCTAGGTTCTGGCCTGATGTAACTGGGTAATGCTACCCTGGGGACCTTGTCTGGGGGAAGCTGATCAAAGACCCCTAGAGAAGGGAAAAATGCCCCACATTTCGTGTGGCTCTGGGGGTCAGCAGCTTGGAGGGAAACCTGTGAGCCTGTGGCTGGGTGAGATCTCTCCCCTGCCCCGCCCCTCTACCTGGGCAGTGGGGACAGCCCCAGCACATTCCATCCAACAAGCAAACCCCCACAAGGGACAGGCACTCGCGGGGGTCACAGCCCTGTGGTCAGTGCAGCTGCTACCACCTGGCAACCCCATAGCTGCAGCCCAGTTGGGCAGGGGTCAGAGCGTGGGCTCCAGGACTGGGCG